ATTGTAAAACATTAAAAACTCTAATTAATTTTAGTCTGAAGCATGCAGCGTGCTCATTTTGCCTAAAACATTTTCATTATCATCAGTATTTTTCCACTTATTGAGATAAATTTTTTTCTTGTGCAGCAGTAGCATATTTTCTGTATTAGAGCACAATTTTACATACTGTTGATAGTTATATCCAGTGTTTTAAATGGATAAAAGAAGGTAGTTTTTGACTGCAGATTGAAAGAATATCTTATATATTGCTTTTCGTCACATGTTTTATAACTACCAACATTTAGAACAGAAAAACTACCTATTTTTTTCTAATAGCTCCACATACTTACTTTTTAAAAGGACTGTTGTTACTAAACCATCTAGATAATTTTCACTTATTTTTTAATCCAATTTCAATAACTGTTCCTTCTCTGACCAGTCAAAGGAATACTTAAAATCTAAAGAAAACATTTTAAGAACATAGAAACATCTGAAGTTAGTGTTTATTTGTAGCTTCTTACTTCATTATTGTGTTGTAGCACCATATGCCTTCTCTGTAAACAGCAAACTTAGGAAAGCAATTCACATCATTCTTTCTGTAAATATAGATTTGTCACTGTTCTTATTTCTGGAAAAAGTTCGTAAGCCCAGATTATAAAGGTACTGTCTTTGTTAAATACCATAACACCAAATAATGTGTTCCAGTTCTGAAAGTAAGCCATCTTTATAAAAAAGGTAAGAAAATACAGACAAGAAAATAAAAACCAGTAACATTACCATTATAAACATTTAAGGTGATTCAGAAAAGGATTTTATGTAGAATGATGGAAAACAACTTATTTTAGCTGTATATTTTGTTGTAGGAGCCATGGGTGTCTTTTCCATGTAAAATCTTTGTCCATACATTTTAGTTAACTTTATTTGAATTTTAAACATTTTCATTAAATAGCCACGTTTGACTTCTCCCGCCCCCGTAGCCCCTTCATCCAGTTCCCTGTAGTGTTACCAGAAAATTTACATTGAGTTGATTACATTCACTACTTTGCAGACCATATTTAAATTTAGCCATTTTTCCCATTAATGTCATTTGTATGGTCCAGGATTCCACTCTTTATCCACTCATTGTACCCCTTAGTCTCCTCCATTTTGTGATAGTGTCAAGTCTTGTCATTAATGATCTTGACACTTTGAGATTACTGTTCAGTTATTTTATACTGTTTATAATGATTAAATTGAGGTTACATGTTATTGGGAAAGATACTCTAGGCCAGAAGTAATGAGCCTTTTTAGTGCATCGTAGACAGGGTTAATTTTTCTGTGTCTGACTGTGAAGTTTGCCTTGATTACTTGGTTAGAGTAGTTTTTGTCAAGTTTCTCAACCAGAAAGATACTTATGTAAAGATGCAAAGAAACATGGTCTCTTTGTGCAATACTACCTTTTAAGAAATAATTTAAAATGTGGCAGTCTACAAAATGAGTATAGAATCATCTGTACTCATAGACAGTAATTTGAACCCACATGTTACCTGTTTAATAGAAATTCCAGGTGCTAAAATAATTGACCATTGTTGCTTGGAGTTCCTTTTATGAAAAAAGAAAAGAAGGACGGTTAGGAAGGATTGCATCAATTCTTTGAACTATTTATGAGAATGAAATCATATCTGTAAAACAAGAATAAAAGGACTTCTTAATATCAGACTGATGGTATAAGTTGAATAACATTTAAACAAAATCTTGCAAGTTTTTTTCAGTGAGAGGAAAGATTTAATTTGGATAAACATGGCAGTGGTTTTCAGTTATTTCTGTGTTAGACTAACTCATGTAGTCTCTACTGCCACCTAGAGCATTAGATCATTACTACATGTTCACCTAGAAATTACCATTCTCCCTACCTTTCTGTCCACATAAAGAGTTAAAGCTAAGGAACTACATTTACTTATTTGGTGTTATGGATGTTGTTACATAAGTGTGCATTCTTGGAATCCTGAATATAATAGCAGAGGTGAAAAGTTGTAAAAATCATGTTTTCTGGAGTATGAATTAACAAGCTTAAACATTTAAGAGGAAACCCTGTCTGCTTTCCAGGACCCTCAAAGGATATGTTGTTGCTGTTATTTCAGAACACTTTGTGAAACAAATGTCAGACTTGTCAGGGCTGTCACTAAGAAAATGATCCGTGTAGCAAGGGTCTTCTTTCATTGGGAAACAAACAGATACTTATCTCAGCAGAGTGAAAAAATCCTGACTTCCATCAGAAGAAATTTTTGCTTGTCTTTAATATCCAGTACTAGAGAAATGCTTTGGTTAAAAAGCTTCCTTTTTTACAGTATTATTTAGTATGCAGTCATTTATCAATGATACTTGATTTGCTGTCTGCTCAAACTACTTTACTGATTTTGTTCATCTCAAACTGCTTTTAATGTTCTCACAAAAAATGACCTATAATGTTAAAAACATACATTAGCACACTTCCAAAAAAATCCCTTCTGGAGTTTTGTTGAATCAAATTTTAATGCTTTTATCTATGGTAAAGTCGATTACTACCATTTTGATGATGTTATACAGTAGTAATTTCAGTGTTATACTCTAGCAATTGGAGTTGACTGCCTTTTCCTCCCTTCTATAATCCTTTGCTACATATAGGTCACAGCTATCTTTGTATAAAAGAAGAAACAGATTAGCTCTTACTAGTTATACAAGTAATTTAAAAGCTTTCTAAAAAGGCAAGCTATTTTAAGACAAGTTTTCAACATAAACATGTGAAATCAATTATGTACCTGTTCTAAACAGAAGTCAGTGCTAGAAAAGACGCATTTATAAATTATATTTTCTAACTAAGAAAAATTCAACAAGACTGATATTATATTTAAAATTCTGATATGCTGGTATATCTGCATATTCCTGATCCATATGTTCCCATATCCAAATTAACGTAAGATGCAGTTTGTAATTGCACTTGACAATATGCTCCTGTAGCTTTTATTTATAATTAAATATGAAAGCAAAAGTATATAGCTACTTCCTCATTCTCGGGTTTATTATTAAATCTGTTCATTTCTATTTTGAGTTTGGGTAGCATTTAAGATTGGTAGCAAGACTAGATAAACATTGTTAAACCAGAAGGTCATATTGGTGTATAACTTAGTAGTCTGCTCAGGTAATAACAGCTCCATTCATCTCCTACACATTAGAGAATATGAGCTTGCTAATGGCTGTGTTGGTACTTGTTGCTTCAAACACTTTTTCTGTTTTCAGTGCTGTTTAAGTGAAGATTGCTGAAGTGCAACTAGTGCAAAAGGAGTGATAGTACATTTTTCAGAATTACATATTGGTTCAGACAGACCTCTCTGATACTCATTTTTTACTCCACTGTTTCACATAGTTCAGGAAACATTAATTGAACTACAACTGTATACTGTGCCTATGCCTGGACCTGTTAGATGGTAGGAATATAAGACAGTGAAAGACTGCCTTGAGATATATCTTGACAAATTCAGTGCTACCTAATTCCCATTTCTTGCCACCTTCCCTGCTGATTTAACATTTTCTGACAGTCTTACCTAAAGAAGACAATGAAAGCATTGAGAAAGATTTTATTTTTAATATACCATAACTAAAATGTTATCTCTAGGAACTTTTTTTCTAAAAAGTAGAAGCTACCTACTCATTAATAAATCTTTGAGTCAGTTGAACATAATAGACTATCTTTACATATTAGAGATAAATTGAGAAAAAAGTTAAGTGGCATACAATAGCTATTTGACTTGGAAAAATATATAAAATTAAATTGCCAAGTGATAGTTAAAGTCTCATCCCTGGTGTCTCACATATCTATAACATTTCAGATTGATTAGTAATACTGATAATTCTCTACTTTCCTGATGTTTACAAAGTCTAAACTGCAGTTGCTGTTGAGTTTAGAGAGAAAAGCATTTCTTAAGGAAGAAAGGTTTTTACACCTTAGTGACATTAGGAAAGAGTTATGGATTTTCATAGAAAACAAAATGTTTATACCTTGATTTGCATTTACTTAATAATGTCAGTTCACTAAGCAGCACTCAACAATTGTTTAATTCATTTGAATTTTATTGTATAAGATACTGTGATACAGCACATGTTTGGTGACACTGACATTACTGCTATTACCTAGAGATATTTAAATCGTTGCTCATGCTTTAATTCAGTAGACAATGCCTGTTATTTCAATTAATAAAAATGAAAGATAGTACATGATAAATCAGAAGTAATATGAAAGCATGACTGCTTTGTACTTGGATATTGTTAAAGGAACATGTATAATGAGATGGGTTACAAATTGTAAGATGAAATATTTTTCTAGAACCTCATTATTTATATTTTGAAGGTCAACATTTAATATTAAACACATGATGCATTTCATCTCTATGGTGCAGACATCATGATGTCACTTCATTTATTCACCATGTTCAATAAAACCTGATGTGAATTATGAGGCCACCACTTAGAATCGAAACTATAGAAGACTGTAAACATTCTATAGCCTGACATGCCCATGTTTCCTATTTTAGACCTGACTGATCTTCAGATAACATATGGTGGTACAAGTAATTGGAAAATTGACAGACCTGTCAAGAAAATATGCTAGATTGGACCAAAATGCGATACTGGAGCACATAAAGTGTCTTAGAAGTTAAATTTATTGTTTTTTATCAGAGAGTAAAGTAAAAATATCTGGTTCACCCTTCAAAGATGACTTTTCAGTAGCAAGTGTTTTCAAAAATAATTTTTAGGACATTGATAAAATTGGTTGCTTTTAAAATTACAGAAAATTTTGTAGTAGTACAAAATATGTAGTATAAAACAGCATGAACTATAAATATTTAAATATTACATAATTTTATCCAGTATAATCTTTTACTTAGGATTCCTGGAATCACAATAGTTCATAGTCCTACAGATAAAACACAGTTAAAATTACATTAAGTATCAATGAAGCATGCCCTAAGTTTATATTTTAATGTTTTCTAAAATTTATTTCACAGGAAGATGAAAATGAAGCTGAAAGAAAAAATATATCTCAGGAGCTCAGCATGGAACAGAAAAATCCAAAGAAATAAAAGATTTTCTGTAGTGTTTTTGAAAAGTTTGCAACTTAGGTAGTAGCAGATGAGATTTCTAATTTGTAATATGTTAAATTGTAAAATCTTACTTGCAAAATGTTCTCAATAAAGTTGTTGAAATAGGAGCTTGTATTCAGAATTTGTGTGTTTTAGAGCATTTCACTTTTTATTTTAAAGCTGGTCCTTGGAATGGTTTTAAAAGGATTAAAATTCTTAACTAAAATTTTAGAACAGAAACAAGATTTTCCTTTGTCTGTAAGTGAAAATTCATCTGGGTGAACTAAAAGAAAACTTCCGAGAGTCTGTTTTCTTTTTCCTAGTTTGTGTTGTCTTCTTTAATAGCCTTACCAGAATTCCAATTATCAATATAAAGAAAAAAGCAACATAGTTTAAAAATGAACAGGGAACACTTGATCATGAAAACACTTAAAACCAGTGCTGCAAGTTTAAATACTATTTTCTGTTTTCATGGACATATGTTTCACATGATATTCTAGAATTACAAGGAAAAGATGGAAAAGGGTGATAATCTAACATTATTGTAGAAGTAGAGCCATGATTGTAAATTTATAACATTTACTGGGGACCTACTGTATGCAGGTCCTTACTTTTCCCAGACATTTTAAGGACAGTTTCCATGCGTTGCGTTGACTTAGGAATTTTCTAACGTTCCTTTGATCCATATCTTTATTAAAGTTCTCATTAACCAGCCATTTTATTCTTCCTGGTTCTGGTTTCTAAGTTGTTGTTTGCCAGCTACAACAGGACTAATGAATCTACCTGCTGTTCATAGACCCAAATGTTTTTGACAGATGTCTTTGATTTTGGGTTTTTGTTGTTGTTGTTGTGTTTTGTTTTGTTTTTTGAGACAGGGTCTCACTATGTGGTGCAGGCTGGCCTTGAACTCACTATGTATTCCAGGCTGGCCTTAAACTCTTGGAGATCCTCCTGCCTCAGCCTCCCAAGTGCTGGGATTACAGGCATGGATTTAATGTAGAGTTTCTAAAAATGAGGCACAATTTGGGGATATTTATAAGACAATGCTGTACAGCTTCCTCCCTGTGAGAATGGAATCAGTGCATCTGCCCTGGGGCCATATTTTTATCACATGCACCTGACAGGCTCAATAAATGTGTGATAGGATGTCCTGGCAGCAATGATGCAGTAGGCTGCAAGTAGGTAAAACAAAATTCATTGAGGGGTAGCCTTTAAAACTACAGCTATGGGGATTAGGAAAACTAGAATGCGTAACAGACTCCTTGATGAATTTTGGAGCAAAGACTAAGCTAAAGAAAAGGATGAAAAGGTAGTTGAGGGTCTGCAGAGGGTTTTCACAATAAGCAAGTGCAGTAGTACAAATTTGATGTTTTCCCACATCAGTCTATTTCAGAATACCAATATTCACACAGATTGGTGATGTATCAGTAATGTGACACTTAAAAAACTGTAATACATGATTTGTATCATACTTAACTGTGTTGTGTTGCAGGTAGTATGCTAAATGTTTACCACATATTATGTCACATAACTGTTCCTATAAACATACAAGATTGATAATATTCTTTTCTCATTTTAGCAACAATCAATATGAGACTTAAATAGTAGAACTAAATTAACTAAAGTTATGTAATTCCTAATTGGAAGAGCAGGTGTTCAAACCCAAGCAGTCTTATCCCCAGAGTATCACATTATTTAATCTTTTGGGGGGAGGAGGGCTGAGATAAGGTCTCACAAAAATTATGGTTGAAACTGATGTGCATCATAAAGACCCATATTTTCTGCTTATGTATCAACAAGGAAGGTTGTTGTATTCATTCTTATACATCTGATTAAATTACCTATTGTTTGCAGAAGTCATATCTCTTGATCATTTGTAGCTTAAATGGGACTATGAAAATAGTGATTTTTTTTTCCCCTCCACTGATCGATAGTATCCATATAGAGTGTATCTTATTTTCTAGAGTGAGATATTTAGCATGCTATAGGGGTAAGCCCATACTCGCCTCAAACTCACAGGAATCCTCTTGCCTTAGCCTCCCAAGTACTGGGATTACAGGTGTGTGCCACCACACCCAGCTGTTTAATCCTTTTTTAATACCTGTTAATACCATTCCTTTTTGGATCCACTATCTTTCCTAAAAATATTGGTCTTACTAGTAGCTCATACATAGCTTGCTGCCTTTCCTTTATTTTTGTTCTCCAACTTGTTACCTATACTTTAATTCATCATGAAGACACTAGTTTACATGAAATAAGTGGAACCATTATAAATACCATTCAGTCTGATGTAAAACATGAAAACTCTGCTTATCGTGGAACAAGTATGAAAGTACCTATTGCTTCTGTAAGATTTTTCAAGCAATCATTGGCCATACTTTAATAGACTATTCATCTTTTAGTGTGCTTTCATCTCCTGTATGGATTGCTGCATTTATAAAATATAGTATGAGAGGCATGGTGACAGCCCCCTGTGAACATTTTAAGTGTTTTTAAGTGATGTCTTTATCCATTGAAAGCCATGTAAGTTGTAGTTTTTTAAAAAAGTTTTTCAAAGATACATTCCTTCTTATTTTAGGACTTTCATTTCCTTTAGGAAATGTTTGTATATGAATTACTTAAAATTTTAAGGTTCATACCT